CCCCTTAGACCCGGCCTCCTGCAGCCACTATAAATTGTTCTGATCATTGAAGTGGCTATAAACGTGCATTGGTGAGACTGGGAAAGAGGACACACACACACACACCTATTAAAGACACTCCAGTCATTCAAGGTACTGACTATGATCTCTAAACGGGCAACATCAGCACCACCACACACTCGTTAGAAATACAGCTAATCAAAAACTCAGAAGAACAGCCCGGTAGCCAGCCTTCTAAGCAGTCCTCCGAGTCATTCTGATACTCGGGGAAAGTTTGAGAGTCATTGATCTAGGAATCGGAGCTGCCAAGCTAAGGGCTGTTACCCTCAGTTGCTGCCAGACAGTGAACCCTGCTTTCAGTGACCTATAATTCCCTGGCAGCAGTAGGTGAGAGACGTCCCCACCTCTCAGCCCAAAGCCAAGAGCTAAAGAAGACCAAGCAGTCCCTACTCCGTGGCTTGCTGCCCAAGAAAACAAGGCGTCCCCGTCATTCACTCCGGAGACAGCCGTGTGGGGAGGGAGGTGGCAGAAAGAGCAAAAGAGCAGAATTAGCACCAGAAGCAACACTTACCCATAAACATTTGCACATTTTCCCTCCAATCCGTTACTGTGAACTGATCTGCAGCTCTCAGTGGAGAAGGCGACCGGGCGTCTGGGGTTTCTGGACCATCCCTGTGCAGGACGTGAGGAGCCGCTGTTCCTCCAGCCTGATGTCTACTGGCCAGCGAACCAGGGCATTGTATGAGTATGTGCGAAGGCTGGGCACATAGGCTACTTCGGTTTCAAGGGCCTCCACCTCCGGGCCCAGTCACTCCAACCAGTCTGCCCCCTTCACCTCTCTAACCCAGCCACCCCTTTTCAAGAGCAACTTATAAAAAGAACGATTCTCTTAAGTTTCACTTCCTTTAAGATTCCCCCAAGTGGGGCAAACAACGGACCTACCCTTGTTTGAAAACTTTAATCTGATTTTGAAAGAAACCTCCAGGATGGTGTGTGTTTGAATGCTGTGCAGCAGAAGGAATCTCTTCGCTGTTCCCCTCTCCCCCAATAAAGAAGCAAGCTGTATACAGCCAGTTGGATCAACCACTATAATTTTATTTTAAATCATGATAGACAGATTGCGTGAAAAACAAGGAATTATAAAGAATTTCCTGCTCTGGGAACAGAAGTTAAATCTATATTTAACAACATTTTAAGCTGTCAAGAATGCTTTGTGGTTGGATAAGAGGCAGAAAAATGTTAAAAACGCAAGCTACTGCTATATCCAAATATGGAAATATTGTTACGTCTGGTGTCTGATTCACCATCTGGAAATACTTACAACCATGAAGTCAAATAGAAAGGACGCCACAACAGAAGCCAGGAACGCTGCTCTCCATTCTCCCTCCACCCGGTACAACACCCACTCTCCCTCACTCCTCCCCTCACTTCATTAAGAAGGGAAGCAGTAAGGAAACCCCAAGGGAGGAGGAAGGAACATTTTCCTAAATAATTGACAGGTTGGCCTGGGTCAGGTGAAGAGCCTGGATTTTTCCTATGTGATTTACACAACACCTGACAGCCCATTGTCATGAAAATTAAGTCTCCCAACCTACCCCCCACTTGTGAGCCTCTCTCCAACCTCTGGGAACACGAGGACACTTTTTTTTTTAATGAATGAATGAAACTTAACCCTTTCCTGAAACAGTTCTCTTCAATAGATGGTGTTTTCATTCCAGCTAGCTTCCCATTGTGTTTACCAGATTCATTCACACAAAAGGCAGCACTGAAGGCCTTCTTAAGCAAATTACGCTAAACTATGAAGGCTGAACAGCCCTATGCATTAAAAAGGACGAGTAATTCTTCAAGAGCACAGATATGAGGGACACTGAAATAATTGTGTGCTTTTTATTAAAAGTATGCAAAAGGATATTTTTCGGTGATGTCCCAGGAAACTGGGCTGTGGAGTCTGCTGCGTGTGTGTCAGGTAGACAAGGATACTGAAATCGGTCAACATTTTTCGGTTCTGTTGTCGGACTCGACCGCACTGAACAACAACATTGTCACGGAACTCTACGCCCCAAATCGCTAATTTCTCTGTGCTTGGCGAGAGGAGCGTTGGGGGGTTTCCAAGTGGTCCAAAGGAGAGGCGTGCTGGCATCTGGTTCAGACGGAAGTGACTTCCGTCCGAGCCACTCCACGAAGGTCGTCCCGCTTCAGCCCAGGCTCAGTCAGCGTGGTCCGCAGCCGGCCGAGGGGGGCGGGAGGGCTCCCCCGGCCTCCGGCATCCGCGCGGAAGTGCGTACAGTCGGCCTCCCCGCGAGCACCCGGCGCTGGTTTCCTCTCGGACATCCAGCTCAGCCAGTGGGCTGGGACTGAAGTGGGAACCTCCAAAACCAAACGGGAACAACACACCAAAGAAGGAGGGGCCGGGTGGGGGAAGACCTCTGCCTGGGAAGCTGCCAGATGTGGGGGGGAGCTGAGTTTTCTCCCTCTCTCATTCATAAAAGCCACTGCGGCTATTAATTTGCAATGCACTAAACACCATGCCAAAGCTTTGGGACTTGATCCCAATGTGCCTCCTGGAAGCCTGCAAATAGATGTCGGGCTCAGCGACAAGCACCCCCTCCCCGTTCGACTCTCTCCATAGCTACACGGCCTCTTCCCACCTCCGCTGTAGACACGCGGACGGCTAGCTGCCTTCCCCGGCGAGGGTTCCCCAGGCCACCCGCCCCGTCAACTCGGCATCCCCCAAACAGAACCACTTTTGTTCCCCCAGCTCAGGTCCTCCCACCCTCCCGGTCCAGGCAGAGTTCTGAAGACAAGTGTCCCCTCTCCTCTCCCACGACACGCATCCTCACTCCAAAAAACAAAAACAAAAAAACAAGCATCCCCAATAGAAGTCGTTATTTAAAGTGGAAAAAACGGACTGTTTTCTTGACGGGTCCAGGACCAAAAAAAAAAGAAAAGAAAAGAAATGTGCACCGGGGCCCGGGGAGGGGCTTGGCAGCCGCCCGCGCCAGCCCGCATTCCGGAGATGTTTGAGCGCTCTGGAACGCGCACACGGCGCCGACGTCACCGCAGCATGCCGAGCGGCCGCCGGCGCATATAAGAGGCGGCGGCTGGAGCCGGGACAGACGCGAGTGAGAGCGCTCCCGGGCCGCGCCGCACCTCTGCGCCCGCTCCTCCAGCACGCCGCTCGCTGCTCCAGCCCGCCGGGCCCTCCGCGCCTCCCAGCCCGCCGCGGCCCACTCCCCGCACCGCTCCCACCGCGCCGAGCCTGGCCTCTGCTCCGGCGTCTCTGCTGCCCGCTCACCACCGGCTCCCCCTGAGCGCCACCATGAGCTCCGGCACCGCCAGGGCGATCGCCTTCACCGTCCTCCTCCTCTACTCCGCCAAGCTGGTAAGCCGGATTATGTTTGCCACTGCGCTCCCACCCTGCCCTCCCCGCCTGATCCTTTCCCCGGCGTGCCGATGGGCACAAAAGCTAAACTGAAAAGTGCAGGGTATGTGGGTGGCGGTGGGTCTTTCCAGCCTAGCTAAGACGTGTCCAGAACCTCTTCATGGGCGCAGCCGCCCGGGGTGGCTGGACGTCAGGGGACCGGGGACCCCAGCATCTATCGGGCGGTACTCCCGTGCCCCCTCTTCCAACCACCACCACCACCACTGCGGGGTTGATCGTCCCGTTCTCACGCGTTTCTTCTGCCCCTTCCAGGCGCTCAGCACCTGCCCCGCCGCGTGCCACTGCCCCCTGGAGGCGCCCAAGTGCGCGCCGGGAGTCGGGCTGGTCCGGGACGGCTGCGGCTGCTGTAAGGTCTGCGCCAAGCAGCTCAACGAGGACTGTAGCAAAACGCAGCCGTGCGACCACACCAAGGGGCTGGAATGCAATTTCGGCGCCAACCCCACCGCTCTGAAGGGGATCTGTCGAGGTAAGATGCTTGTGGTTTGGCCCCTTTAAAAAAATAATAGTCCCCGTAGTCCAGAAGTTTAGTAATTTTGAGACCATGTATGGTGATGCTTTGTTGTTGGTAGCTTGGCAGAAAGACACATGATTTCAGCAGTCTGGAATGCAATTCAGTGTGTCTGGGCCCAACGCAAAGCGCACACGGAAAAGTGATTCCTGACTGACTTATTGTTCTGGTCTGGAGTCTCCGGGGAGTTACAGAGAACTTTACCATAAATTGAATTTAACAGAGCAGAAAGTATGTATGCATTGCAAGGCTTGGTTCAGACTCTTAACCGGCTTGTCCTCCCTCCTCTTTCTCTTTTGGTGATCTCCGCAGCTCAGTCAGAGGGCAGGCCCTGTGAATACAACTCCAGAATCTACCAGAACGGGGAAAGCTTCCAGCCCAACTGTAAACACCAGTGCACATGTATCGATGGCGCGGTGGGCTGCATTCCCTTGTGCCCCCAGGAACTATCCCTCCCCAACTTGGGCTGCCCCAACCCCCGGCTGGTCAAAGTGAACGGGCAGTGCTGTGAGGAATGGGTCTGTGACGAGGACGCTGCTAAGGACCCCGGGGACGACAGGGACAGCCTCCTGGACAAGGGACTGAGATTGGACGCCTCCGAGGTGGAGTTGACCAGGAAAAACGAACTGATCGCCATTGGAAAAGGTGGCTTCCTGAAGCGGCTCCCCGGTAAGCAGAGACCTTGCGCTGCAGTAGGTTCGCAACTTTGTAGAAAAGACTCTTTGCTGAGATGTGTGTCGATGCTCCTCTGACAAACCTCCCCTTTTGTTCCTTGCTCTAGTTTTTGGACTGGAACCCCACATCCTATACAATCCTTCATCGACTGGCCAGAAATGTATCGTTCAAACAACTTCATGGTCCCAGTGCTCAAAGACCTGTGGAACTGGTATCTCCACACGCGTTACCAATGACAACCCCGAATGCCGCCTGGTGAAAGAAACCCGGATTTGTGAAGTGCGGCCTTGTGGACAGTCAGTGTACAGCAGTCTGAAAGTAAGTTCCTTTGGGCGTCCTGGAGGCTGTTCTCAGCAGGTCGGTGGGGGGTACAAACTTTTCTTTCAAGAATCAGAACTACCTACCCTCGCTGACTTGTCTTTTTCTTTCCCCTTTCTTACAGAAGGGCAAGAAATGCAGCAAGACCAAGAAAGCCCTTGAACCGGTCAAGTTTACTTACGCTGGCTGTTCAAGCGTGAAGAAATACCGCCCCAAGTACTGCGGGTCCTGCGTCGATGGGCGGTGCTGCACACCCCAGCAGACCAGGACTGTGAAGATGCGCTTCCGCTGCGAAGATGGGGAGATGTTTTCCAAGAACGTTATGATGATCCAGTCCTGCAGATGCAACTACAACTGCCCACATGCCAACGAGGCCGCCTTTGCTTTCTACCGGCTGTTCAATGACATTCACAAATTTCGGGACTAAATGCTACCTGGGCTTCCAGGGCAAATAAGGGAGAATGCTGTCAGAATCTCGGAGACATGGGTGGGGGTGGTGGGGGTGAAGGGGCTCTATTGTAGAGGAATTCTGCCTTGCTCGTTCTTGAGTAGTACTGAGGTGTTTGGAAACTGCCACGTGTGCTGCTGCAGAGGACACCAGTGCAGGATACTAATGTGAGAATACTTTGCTTCATAGTACTGGAGCACCTGTTACTGCTTCATTTTGGAGCTTGTGTGTTGATGATGTTCTGTTTTCTGTTTGTCAATTATTCGGTAAGCATATTTTTCTTGACTTTTTGCCTTTTCAGTTCTGCGATTGTAAAGGAGAATGAGATTAGTTAGACAGATAAAGCCTTTGACAGAATTGGAGAGCAATCCATCCCTCCTGAGGTGCCACTCCATGAGTGACTGTGAGAGGCAGCTATCTGCACTCGAAACTGCAAACAGAAATCAGGTGTTTTAAGACTGAATGTTTTTATTTTATTTATCAGAATGTAGCTTTTTTTGGGGGGAGGGAGGAGGGGAAATGTAATACTGGAATAATTTGTAAATGATTTTAATTTTATATTCAGTGAAAAGAATTTATTTATGGAATTAATCATTTAATAAAGAAATATTTACCTAATACCAGAGTGTATGCTATTCAGTAATTTTCAGAAACAGGCCAAAGTCCCTGGGAACCAGCTAGCTCATGCATTCATTCATTCAAACAAGATTTGTGCCAGGCACTGTTCCAGGCGCTTGGGATATAGCAGTGAGTTACTGATGAAAATTGGACCATGACTTTTATTTCACCAGTAGAGAAAGATCTGTGTGTGTAAACCGATCAGTTTGAAAAGCATGTATCGAATACCAGGCACTGCACTAACTACTGAAGGTAAACTCAAGAAAGAAACCTGAAACTGTGATTTAAAATAATGCTTTATTTTCCCCAAGAATTCAAAGCACCAGGACCTCTTTTGTACAGTCGCCTTGTGAGGTAGGTAGAGTAGAGTCATTTCTTCCAAATCACTGGGTTGTTGTGCAGATCATTTCCGTAGAGGAGAAAAACACTGTAATGAAAAACTGACTGTTTAGGTAGCCCTCATCTAAATTATGAAAGGTCACTTGCTTATGATACATTTTCCCACTTTATTTCTAAAACTGAATAGAACTATTTAAAATTCACGCTGGCCTGGGAAGAGAGAAAGAATCTTGGAATCTATTGGAGTCAGTTTTCACTAAATGAATTTGAAGAAATGATTTGTGTTAATCCTAATAAGCCGGTGATTAAGTAAACACACTGTTAAATGCAAAGGAATGCAAGGAATTTCAAGTACTTTTCCAATGGAGAGATGACGGAGCTGTCCCATTGGCCCATTCCATTTTCTAACATACATTGTACTAATGGAAGGAGCACAACAATTACGCTCTCAGCAGCGAACAGAAAAGTTGGCAGCCAGCATTTGAGGGACACAGACCCCACCATCTGCTTCCGTAAGATTGCAGCCCAGAAGTCCCTGTGGGCAGTTCTCTGTCGCATGGGGTCACTGAGTTGTAATTGACAGCAACAAATAACATACTGATGGAGGAGGGAAGAGGTCCATAGAGTTGACTATCCAGGTCAAAGGCTATACACAGAGCATTCCTAAAGAAAAGGATCCGAATCATAGGTCCAAGGGAGGTGGAGAAGGCTGCATCAATATTTGGGAAATTGCTGGGAGGCCTGTGTTAGCAGAATCTGCACCTTTAGAAAGTTCTGACAATAAATATTTGATAGAAGTTTTCCTTTCATGGTCCCTCTTGGCTCCTGTTCAAATCCATAGTGAAACATTTCAATCTGCACTTGGTTAAGAGGATACTTTAAATTTTAGGCAGTACAAAAAAGACCTTTAAGAAGGTGGTGGGTGGTAATGGGGTCCTGTTAGGGGTGACTTTTCAAAAATATTTAATATTGGTGTTTTAGTGGTGACTTACAAAAAAGCACTCCATAAGCGTCTGCTTTAACAACTTACTGAAATGCATAAAGGTTCATATAAATGTGAAGGCAAAATGTACGGCCCAAAGCCTTCACTCTTCTCAGTTTGACAATGTTTTGCCCAAAACATAGCAATTTGTGCCTTCTGAATAATCAGTTTTCTTGCCTCAGGCATTCAACGTTTAAGGTATTTGGGGGTTTAAACACCACCTGGCCCAGTCTTGGATGCAGTTAAACTTGTCAGTGCAATTAACATGTGAAATATAACAAAGGTGTAAGGCTTTTGTGGTGCAATCTTCTTTAAACAGACAGACATCTAAATCCACAGGCGAGATTTACACCTTCCCAGGCACCAATCCGGAGGGTATTGCCATCCAACATGAGCGTTCTACAAATTGCTTCTATTGCGATCAAGGAGCAATGCTTTGTAGTTGCTTCAAGTGAGTGAGGAAGAAATGTCTCTCCAAATAAGCTCAATTATGAACATCTTAGCGTGGGAAAACCTTACATCTTTGGGATGTTAATGTCGCCCTAGTAAACACAAAGAAGGTGACACACAGGTGCTGATTCCATTTACAAAGAGAATGTTCAATCAGCAAGGTAGGCTCAGTGAAAGTCAATTATTGCCACGCTATGTGACTGTCAGAAGCCCTGGGGTTAATTAAGTGCTTGACTGCTAACCCAAAGGCTGGTGGTTTAAACCCACCCAGTGAATCCCCAGGAGGGAGACCTGGTGGTCTGCTCCCATAAAGATTACAGTCCAGGAAGCTCAATGGGTGTGCTTCTACTCTGTCGCAGGAGGTTGCTAAGTATGAAAAATCAAATCCATAACACCTAACAATAGCATACAGCTGTAGGAAAAAAAAAATTAAAGAAGTCAGAAACGAGAAGAGATTTAGAACAGATAACTTTGTTAAACATATAAAACATAAATTGCTCGAATGTATAAATTCATTAAAAATGTATAAACCATGAGATTTAGGGCATATACATTTTCTCAAAGTCCAGAGTCATCTCATTTCAAATATTAAGAACACAGAAATAAAACCATGCATCTGCACACATAATGTTTATATGTCTTCCTTTTATTATACACACGCACACACACATATGCACAGACATATGTATATATCCATACACAACACAGCAAAGTCTTTATATAGTTCTTTACTTTTCAATCCAAACGACTGGGGTGGTCTTAAGCTATTCTGGGGAGAGAGATTTAAGAACAGAGAGTTACAGGGTGCCTTCAGAATCTCAGGAATTTTGTGAGTTTTAAGAAATCATCTATGGGATATTTAATAGCATGGTACGTGGTCTCACCATGACCATTTTTCAAATGAATGCATGTGCTGTCCATTCCCCAAAAGAGATGCAACTGAATCAAAATTAGCAAGGCATTTAAAAAGTTATTTTCCAGTAAGGGGAAACAGATTGGATTTGTCCACATTCTCATTCCACATGCCTCCTAGAACTATTTGAAAATCAACCGGGCAGGAGCACGGGTCAAGTATGAGCATCATATAGAACTAAGTTGTGTTCAGGACCAAGTGGCAGACAGTGCAGTGGAAAGACCCCCAGGTGGGAATCAAGAAACATGTCTTGTAAGCACCAGCTCTGCCATTAATGTGCTGGACAACTCGGAGCAGGTTTCTGGATTGTTCTCTCTGATGTTAAAATGGGACGGTAATCCCAGCATTCTTGTCACCCCAAACTCCCTTTTCATACAATTTCTTGGATGCACTGACTGCTGTATCTTAAGAACATTGCATCTTCAGGTCATGGACTGTGTGAAGGAAAACGTATCCAGGCTTTTCGAGGGGCAACTGCAGCTATTTCCCTGTGGCCTTTGGGCATGTAATGCTGCTAGACACTCTTTACTCTCTTGAGTCCCCCTGGCTCTAGGGCATGGTGCTTCCTAGAGCAGAGGTCTACACCTGCACCTCACCATGCTGCCCTGATAGCTAGGCCTGTTGACTCCATACCCTAAGGAACCTTTGCCTCAAAGGGAAGCACATTTTGCTGCATGACCGTGATCTATGTATCCTATGAAGTGGTAGATTTGTGTCCTACCTCATATACTCCTGTGATCTGATGAGTGTAATTCAATTCAACATGCATTCAGACACATTTGTGAAAGCTTTATAGGTTTTATATATTCTGTTCATTGTACTTCTGAATATACCTCTTTCTCCTCTGCTTTGTAAACATCCCAGCAGAAGCTGTCTCCATCTGTTGCCTGAATTGCTGGCGTGGTTGCCTCAGTTGTAGCAGATTGGATTTTTCAAAGGTATTTTTAACACTATTTTTATGCAACATGCTCTCTACAATATGCTTTCGCTGCTCCACCATCAAACTTTTGTGCATTATGGGACCAGATGCCAAAGAGGGGCTAATGGGCTTGAAACCCCAACCTTTCGCTAGCAGCTGAGCACTGACCCCTGTATCACCGGAGCACGGTCAATGCTTTTGCTGCTGTTGTTAGCTGCTGTCAAGTTGGTGCTGACTTGCCGCGACCCTACATTCAACAGCTCCAAATACTGCAGGGTCCTGCCCCTCCTCACGGTTGTTTGTGTGCTTGAACGTGTTGCTGTAGTCGCCACTGTGTGGTGCGCTCTCTTGTCATGGGCCTTCCTCTTTACCAAGCATGAGGTCCTTCTCTAAAAATTGGTTTCTTCTGACGACATGTTCAAAGTGTGTGAAGAGCACTGGCAATGGATAAATCCATTTCACCACTCTCGATTCTGGATGGGCTCTTTGTGTTAGCCAGTGAAGATGGAGGATGTCCTGTGGTGCTAGTTCCCAGCACAGCACTGGCTGGGAGCTTCTACTTTCTTTCTCTTGGAAAAGAAATGCCATGTAAGAAGCACAACTACTACCAGGCGGTGAGCCCCCTACGCCACAAGGAGATGCCTTAGAGAGTGAGACGCAATGTGGGAAAAGAAAAGGTCAAAGAGGAAACTGGGCGGAGTAACCATATTGGGAGTGGCCCTTCCAGCCCCAGCATCCCCAGCTGATGTCTCATGATTTATTGATGAATTGTCCACCTGAGTCCTCCCTAGATTCCTGACCCACAACACAGTGAGCAAAATCAGCTGGCTATCATAGGCACTACATGTTTGGCGTGGCTTGTTAAGCTGTAAGCACATAACCAAATATCCCTGCTCAGCATTCTCACTGGATCCAAACTGTCCCCGGAGCCAGAGAGATGCTTTACAAACCAACAAACCAACAAACGAATGCTAGAACATGCACATACACACACACACACACACATACATATATATATATGGGGGGCTATATATATGGGAGATATATATACATCTTTACCGCACACCCAAGCTCTGGAGTCTGCCTCCTTCTTAGCCTTCGGCCTCTCCAGCTGAACTTCCATGTCTGTTTTCCGCTTCCTTGAGAGGGCCGAGCGAGCTTCTCCTCGGGGCTTTGCAGTAGTTGTGCCTCTGCTTTAAACACCCCTTGGCCTGCTCTAAGTGTTTTCTTTGTCTACCTTCCAGCAAGTCGTTTTCTTTTCATTATGGCACTGAACACCGCCTGGTATTTCTTGCTTATTTAGTAGGTCTCCCCTTCTAAAGTCACCTCTACTCAAAGCCTCTCCTCACGGCCATCAAGTTCCTCTTCCCATCATGACCGGAGAGGACAGAGTAGAA